CAGCTAGCATTCACACAGCGCTGCAAGCTGCTGAAAACACACAGGACCTGAGGGCTTCCTTTCTGGTCAGCTGTGCCTGTGGGAGAGTGTGTGTTACACGGCAATAAATGTTGCACAGAGACACACACACACACACACACACACACCCACACACGCACGCACGCACGCGCACACACACACACACACACACACACACACACACACACACACACACACACACACACACACACACACACACACACACACACACACACACAGCCCAAACTAAAGTGAACAGAGGTCAGAACAACAACAGCAGATTAAATGAGGGAGGTCCCTGCAGTTAAAAGAATAAGGCCTGGATATCTGTTACTGGAAAAGGTAAGAAGCCTACCGAGACGTTGTAAACTAAACGGAGCAACAATGAAGCAACAACAAAAAAAGGCAGAAGTTATTATAGTTTTGAACAAAATGTCCACCGGCTTCATGAAAACTGAAAGAAAGAGGCAAATGAGAGAACTGCATTTCTCTCCGCACTTCACATGGCAGGGATAAGTGACTGGATCGCCGGCCGAGAGTCGGTTGGACATGTCGGCTTGATGTGAGGTTTGGTGCTCGACTCATTCGCCGTCGGCTCGGCTGAACGCTTTGATTTGGCCGTCTGACAAAAATATAGCGGCTGTTATGCCTGTCTGATTTGAAGATTGCATGAGCGTTTGATTCCTGAATCAGTGGCTGAGCACTTGACTGCTTCGCTGAGCAACTTGTGATAAAAAAAATAAATAAATAAGAAAAATAGCAATGCATCACTCTTGACTGTTTCCTGTTCTGCCTGCTACCATGTTACTCTAATCTTGTGTGTATTGGATCTTTTTTCTACTGTTTTCTATAAATCAGAACTACAGCAGTGGACGGTTCTCAGCTAATATTTTTTACATTGCCTTGCAAATGTATTGATACCAATTGATTTTATTTTCTCTCATATTTGCCTGCGTTAAAACCATAAACTTCAATATATTTTATAGAAGCTGTGCTTTAGAGTGCGATACTGAAATGTTGAGGGAGAGATGAGTTGAAATTTCAAGAGGGAATGTGAAACTAAGGAATTGATCTGTGTTGCCTCAAGTCTTTCATGCGTGTTTGAGAATTTTTTCAAATCTCCATGGCAACCATGCAAAACGCCTGGGTGGACCTAGCCCCGCCTTTGAAGTGCAGCTCCTCCTTGAAGCTGCCTCACAGAGACCCTCTCTCCCACCCGGCTCCTTCAGACTAGCAAGCAGCAATTGGCAAACGCCTGGCGGAACGGTGGGTCAGCTGCGCTCATTATAGGAGCCGCTTCTCAGTGCAGCTCTGGTGAAAATGTCGCTAAAGGGTTAATAGAGGAGCCATGTTGGGATGACTTCCTGAAGATGGAGTTTCAAAAAGAACAGGAGTTTTTAAAGAGACAGTGGTCTTAAATTACAAAGTCCTGACTTCGTATTTAAATACAGGCTGATATGTATTTAAATTGAAATATGCTAAAATGCTACTATATGCCTGGAACGTACATAAAGCTGCCGCTGTTACAAATCAAAACAGAGTAATGAGGCAAACATTTGTATCCAGCCCCATTTTTTGAAATGCAGTGCACTGGACCCTTTGCCTTCACAAATCACCTCGCCGGTCAGCAGGGTCTACCTGAGTATAATTTCATTTCAGCATAAACCGAACTGCTCTGTGAAGGTCTCAGCAGTTTGTTAGACAGGCAGACAGACATCTCAGGGAAAACGTTGAGGAGAACTTTAAAACAGGAATCATTTTTATGAAAACACTCCTCCAGCTAACGTAACGCCCAAACATTGCATGTATTGAGAGTGAATAAAGAAGAGCTTGTGTGTTTTTCATTTGTTTCCTTTGCATTTTAAAACCTACCCAGTTAGATTCCCTCTGTCGGCCACACAAAGGCTCCCACTCATGTCCTCATGTACACAGAGAGCCTCTCTGAAAACAGTAATCAGTGTAAAATGTGAGCTTTTAGAGAGCGAACCCAGACAGCCGTCACACTGTCAGCTGACCCCTTCTGGGAATCCCACATTAATCTGCCACAAATAATAACAGCCACTAGTTATAGTTGGATGGATTTGCTAGGTGACCTGACATGATCAGTGTTTTTTTTTTCTTAGCTTTTTTTTGTCAGGTGCGATAATCTCCTTAAATTTGAAGCTATGAAAGTTGACAACACAAAAGGGCAAAATAATTAGAAAACCAGAAACAGGATGGCCTCTCTTTTTCAGAAAAAAAAACAGAACTGGCGGCGTGAATTACACGAGAGCAGCGCGGTGGCGACGCTGGGCGACGCACAAAGCAGCCGACGGTGTGTTTTTGGTGATGAAGCATGTTCGTTTGTTCTCGGAATTGAAAGGCGAGCGAGATAAGCGGGCCGAGAACAATACAGATAGGAGGAAGAGACGGATGGAGAAGGGAAGGAAGAAGGAGGCAGGCTGTCAGATAAAACAAAATACAGCAGCAGGCGACCGCAGTGAGTGACGGTGGGCTGACCCAGATGATGGGATAAGACGGGACAGGAGTGGTCAGGATTATTACAGGATCATAAGGGGGTGGGGGCGGAAAGAAAAAAACAACAAAAAACGATGCTGATCTAAGCATTTGTGACTGGACTGCGCAGTAAACAGCTGGCTTTCAAGTGAATCATGACTGACTTGTCTTTCATGTCTGCAGAGTGCAGTAAACACCATGGCAGGCCAGCAGTCGGTTTGCATTGGACATGCCGTGAATATGAACTCCCAAAAGCAGAGCGTAAAAAACACGCCATGCCAGTTTTTATGCTCTTCAAAATCTTATCCGATTTGAAAGTTTTCATAAAAACCATGAAAAAAAAAAAAATCCTCTGTCTTAGCCATTTTCACATTTCATCTCATTGCAACCCGCAGGCTTCATTTTGTTTTATTAGGATTTTATTTAATAGACCAGCGCAAAGTAGTGCGTAATTGGGAAGCGGGAGAGACGGTTTAGCAGTTCTGAGACATGTGGCGTTCGCTTGGGTTCAAACCAGAGTCAACATAATTCAGACAAAAAAAAAAAAAAAAAGAGAGAGAATAAATGCTAAAGTTTCAAGTTGACAATGATCTTCAACACTGTTCTCCATGGGCTGCTTCTGAATTAGTCAGCCTAACGCTGAAGACACAGGACAGAGGGCCGGTTTTATTAGAGGCGACAGGTTAGCAACTGTTCAGCACGACCATAGGAAAGCACACTGGAGGCTAATCTATCACAGAGAGCTTACATAACCAGAACCGCTCCGTCATCCATCACTGCTCGGGTAAAATTTGCCACCAAAATGGTTTTAAAACATCTTTAATTCGATTAAAATCCTTGTTTTCAACAGATGCAAGTTAAATCCTCCAAAAGTCATGAAAAGTTTGACTCATTAAGTGAATGTGCAGAGTGTGTTTCTGAGATGCTGACCCAGTGCAGGTCAGGATGCTCCGGCGCCACACTGAGGTGGAATAGTTTCCAGAAGGAAAACAAAAGCAATTTTGATCCTGTGTGTATCTAAAGGTTGCATCGTGCAAAGCGTCATGGAAAATTTACACAAGTCTTGTGCCTGAAATTGGGACGAAACCATTCAACACACAACCAGGGATTAGATTTTCTTACACTAATTTGTTTAGAAGTTGTTAAATTCTACAATCACGTTTCATAATAAAGACTCTGGTGAAGGATAAAAAAGTTTATTTCTGTTTAGGTAGCGAGAAAAAAAGAGATCAAAGGCTAACAGGATGCTGTGTTTCTATAAGAGTATTTTTGTTGGGCTTTTTTGCACATCAGAAACAGTTGACAGAAACGGCAAAAACATCAACTTTGTGAAAAGACAAACAGTTTTTACGTTCACTCGAGGCGTATATTGGCTTTTCCGAAAAAGATTAAAGCTATGAAAGGGCGGCGGATAAGTGCTGATGTAGCTTTTCCATCCACCGACCATACCAGAGGCACGAAACAGAGAAATTTCAAAGTCCAATCTTCCAGTTCTCTATTTGTCTGAGAGCCGGGGATTTTTTTTTTTTTTTTTTTTTTTTTTACAGTGTCGCTTCAACTTCTGATGGAATTTTAATAAGCATGACAGATACTGGCTCGCTGTGACACCAAAGAAGTCAGATGTTAGATTCTTTTAATCCGCCCAAATATGACCCATAATCATCATATGCTTCCGAATCACAGATTGTGTTCTTTCGGGTTTCCATCTTTTTTTTTTTTTTTTTTTCTTATTCTGTGAGAGAGGAAAAAAAATTCTAATGGTGAAAAACAGTTTAAAATTCCCAAAATTGAAGAAGAGTAATTTTCTTTCTTACATTTACTATAAAGTACCTTTCATTCATGTCTTCTTGATCCTTTTTTCCCTGGGAGGGAATCAAAACTTTGGTAACAAATTAAATGACAGGATGCTGCCGTGATGAGATACATAATATTTTACGCCGGATTAGACGCTAATCCACGGTTAATCCCGCAGGAAAGGTAAATAGCTAAATGTCAGCTGGTGTCCTGTTAAACATGCAAATTACAGCAGCCTTCTGTCTTCAACTTAACCCATCTCTCTGTTTCTGTTTCCTAACTGCACTGATTCTCCTCGTGCCGTTTCGTCTTCTTCCTCTCGCCAGTTGTAAGAGAATTTCAAAATGGCAAATCTTGTCAATATAGACGACGGAACGAATTATAATATCAACATGCTGGTCGTTGCTTCGTATACTAATAAATGTAAATAAAGATTTGAAACTTCTTCACAAATCTGCTTGACAAACGAGTAATTACAGAGCAATTAACGTTTAATTACACTGCAAAAGTCAGAGCACTTCTGAGCTTTGTTAATATTAAAAATGCATCCAAAGTGTTTGAATTCATCACCGCCGCGCAGTCGCAAAGTAGTTTAGCCAAAATCAAAACAAACTGCTAATGATTTTCTAAACGTTACCGCCGTTAACAATACATTTGCTCCATTTTTGTTTTGTCTGTCTCTGTTTCTGTAGACCCAGGACCTTTCTAGGAGACAAACTCCCGCCTGATCCATCCGATTGAAACCGGCGTCGTCGAGCACCATGAGCTGCTGCTGGGGTGACATCCTGCCAAACCCGCTGACATGGAACACCTAAAACGGAAACGGGACTGACTGCCATGCTCCAACTCCTGCTTTAATCGTCAACGAGACCTCGTCCCGGTCCATTCCGATATTCCTCCGCACACGTCGCCCGGACCTGAACCGCTCCCAGATTTAAATTCGAACTGCTGCTCTCTACCTTTCCTCCCGTCCCCATCCCTCACCCCTTCTCTGTCAGCTCTTCTGGGTTTTTTTTTTTTCTTCACCCTTCTCCTTTCAACGGAGGCGACGTCAAACACTCTGAATTCAAACCATGGCCGGCAGACAGCGTTTGTCCTTCCCGTCTCCCTCCCTGCTCCTTCCCGTCCTCCTTCCTGCACTGCTGCTCCTGCGCCTGCCTGCTGCGGTGAAAGGGGACTGCTGGCTGATAGAGGGGGACAAAGGTTACGTTTGGCTGGCTATCTGCAGTCAGAACCAGCCTCCGTACGAAACCATCCCCCAGCACATCAACAGCACGGTCAGTTCCAGGTTCTGGGTGAACGTCTTCCACCCAGGACCAACGAGGTTCCTCCCTGGATCGCAGCCGCCTTTTCTCACTTTGCTGTTTAAACATTCTGTTGATTTCGTTTAGATAACTTGATAACTTTACGCTTAAATGCCATGTTTGGACAGAAACGATGGCAGCCAGCGAACCGTTTAACAACGCTAAGCAGCTGAAAATACTGATTTGTGACAAAATAGACTGAAAAGTCAGATAAATTGAGATTTGGTGAGATGAAGCATTCTTAGTGAATAAAGATATATAGATGTGTATTAAAGGAGCCCTGTGAAAAGTAATGGAAAAGTAAGATGTGTTTTAGATGAAGGGCAGGAAAATCAAATTGGAAAATGCACTATATTTCTAATATATACAGATATACCAGAACCTGTAAGCACACGTAAAGGGCCATTTCTTTTGCTCGTCAGCTGTAGTCCAATGTAATAAAAATGTGACCTTACCTAGAAATTTGATTTTGACCTCTGGTTTAGAAGCCCCTAGTCTAGACTTTGACTTGTCCATTGCAACATCTTAATTGTTTCTTTTGAGCAATTGTTGATTTGCCACTCTGTTGAGGATCTTTGTGTTGTGAGGAAATTCATGATTGTGTCAGCGAATGTAGAGGATTATTCATCAGGAATTTTTTTCTTGTGAGTATCCGATAAACTGTAGAACACCTTCCACTCCACAACACTGAGATTATTCTCACATTTTCCTCTGAAATTCTGACAAAAAATCTCTAAATGTTGCTGTTGGAAATAGATATAAAGTCGGTTATGCTTTTCGAAGATCCGTTACATTGGGACTAGCACATTTTATTGATTGTGTAATTGTTTCATATGAAGTAATAAGCTGTCAAGTTATGAAAATTTGCAAAATTCACAAAATTAGTAAATCACTGTACAAGAAAACCAAAAAAAAACACCAAAAAGCTTTTGAATGACTTTCTCTACAACGGCAGGCAAGGTGAGGCAATAGGCAATTACAATTGCATGGCACATTTCAGCAACACGGCGATTCAAAGTGCTTCACATGATTAAAAAGAAAATGAACAACAAAGGAGAAAAACATCACATTGCAGTGGCAAAATAGAGGAGAGAGATGAGACAATGAGAAACAGATTACAATTTGCGATGTTCCAGCTGTTATTCATCAAAAGTACCTCTAAAAAAAAGTTTGTTTTTTTTAGCTGTGAAAAACATTGTATCGTTGATACAATGTTTGTATCAAAGATACTTTTATCTTTGAAATTGAAAGATAAATTGAAGCTAATTTTTGATGTCCTCCACATCGCTGACTTTGGATCGTTTCTCTTTTGGTCCAAAAATGGCTCTGTTCTCTTCTGTTTCTATTCAGCAGAATAAAGTTACAGCATACGCATTGATTTTTTGATTTAGATTTTTTCTGTTCATGTACTCAGTGATTAAATAAGCAGAATACATTATCTGGCAAAAACTGATAGCATTTTCAGGTGAAATGCAAAACTTGGTATAAGGCAGCTTCAATAAGTCACCTCATTGAAACTACATGCAACTATTTTTCACCTTCATTATAAAAAAACTCAAATATCTAAGAGGGAAATAAGTGTTTGCAAACAGCAATATTTCTATATTTGAGTTGTTTATGTTGAAATAAAACTATTGGTAGAGGATGTTTATCTGTCAACTTCTTCTTTTTTGTCCCCTTCAGGTTCATGACCTCAGGCTGAATGACAACAAACTCAAGGCTGTGCTCTTTACCTCCATGTTCCGTTTCACAAACCTAACTGATCTCAATCTGACCAAGAACGAGATAAGCTACATTGAGGATGGGGCCTTTGCTGGACAGGCAAACCTTCAGGTTGGTTATCATAGACAGAACTCTGTTTTTGTTGTTGTTGTTGTTTTTTTGGGGGGAGGTTGTGATTGTTTGCGTCACTTTAATTGCACTTTTAAAGGTACGCCGCTTGTCAAACAGCTGAAACTGGAAACCTAGACAGGAAGCAAATGTTTTGCTTATCAATGTTTCACTTATGTGCTTGTTCTGCAGCAAACACTGAACAATAGATGCAATAAAATAGAATAGAATGAAATTCAACTTTATTGTCATTGCACTGTCACAACTACAAAGCAACGAAATGTAGTTTGCATCTATTCAGAAGTGCTTTTACAGGATATAAATATTTATAAACAGGTGTACAAAGATATGGTGTATAAACAGAGAATAATAGTGACGTGCTATAATATAAAATGTTTTGTATAAATATAAATATGAGAGCCATATACATATTATACAAATTACACAGATTATACAGAAAACTGTTGGTTTATAAATTTGTGATCACTCAATGTTCATTCACATGTTTAGAAAAAGAAGGTAGAGTTAAGGTATTCTGTTGGAATTTACATATCTAAAACGATACACAGTCTTTAAATTACTATTATTAAAAATCTTTTTAAATAATAAAGAAGCTGATTGTGGTGATACAAAGTCTCCAGTTTGAATTGGAGCTCAGACAGTGATCATTTTCTTAAGTGTTGCATTATATTAATTGGTATACTTGTAGAATATACACTGAACTTATACAGCGCTCTTCCAGTCAGCAGAAAAGTTTTACACAAGAGCCACATTAAGTGCCTTGAACCAAGTTGACTTGCGATAACTACATCACACATGCACTATGTGATTTAGTATGTTGCACTATTTCACATATTTGCAAAGAAAGTTAATATGTGTAGATACTGTCAACAAGATAAAATAAATACCGAAATGATTTCAGTTGCACTTTTATAACACATTTAAAGTACCTACTCTGTCTTTTCTTGTCAGGTTCTACAACTGGGCTACAACAAACTGACCAATCTGACTGAAGGAATGTTGAGAGGCCTAGGCCGAATGCAATGCCTCTTTTTACAACACAACCTCATTGAGGTCGTTGCCACCAATGCCTTCTGGGAGTGCCCTAACCTTAGCAGCCTGGATTTATCTTCAAATAAACTGGCCCGTCTTGACCCCTCTACCTTCACTTCCCTCAACAGGCTAATGGTTTGTGAACTAGCAGCGAACCCGTTCCATTGTGGATGTGAGCTCTACAGTTTTCTGACTTGGCTAGAGGAGTTCAACAATGTCACCCACACTTATGACCGGCTCCAATGCGAAACTCCACCAGAACTGACAGGATATCCACTCCTGAGCCAAGCGCCTGGGCAGGGAAGGAATGCTCGGAGCATTCTTCTGTCTGCCTGTCGGGACGGTGTGATTATTTCAGGGATGACCTCCCAGATGCCAGATCCAGATGGCTCGGGCATGGGTTTAGACAATTCTGATCCAGGTCTATACCCTCAGCCGACCACAGCTACTGCCGATCCCAACTATGTTCCTCAGATTTCCATTAAGCTTGAGTCGGTCTCCCTGTACACGGCATCTCTTCTTGTGCAGATTCCAAAACCATACACAAAGATGTACATCCTCTCCCAGTATAATGACACCTTTGCAACAGAAATTATGTCCCTTACAAAGAAGAAGGAGAAGATTCCCATAGATAAGCTGAAACCACACACCAACTACACCTATTGTGTGGCTTCTGGAAGTAAAACTCAACGATACAACCATACTTGCCTGTCTTTCACAACGCGGGCTATGGGCCCGGAGGACCTCCGTTCTAATCCATCCACAACTACCCACTACATTATGACAATCTTGGGATGTCTGTTTGGTATGGTGATTGTGCTCGGATTTGTCTACTACTGCCTCAGGCGGCGACGCATCCAAGAAGAGAAGGAGAAGGCTATAAGTGTAAAGAAAACAATTCTGGAGATGAGGTGGGAGGATTGTTTAAATACATGGTTAATTTTAATCTCTAGAAGGCGCATTCCTTTTTTTCTTTTCTTAGACATTGCAGTGGTTTAATTTGTGATTGAAGTAACTCGTGTCTTTAGAAGAAGCTTTACTCCATTATCTTGAAGATTTTATATCATACTACTGCATGTGATTTCTCCCTGCTTGAATCAAAAGTGAGACAAAGTTTTTGTCATTATATTTCATCACAAATTATGCCCTTTTTTAATGTCAATGTTTCCTTCCTTAGATATGGTTCAGAGGCAGCTGCAGCAGTGGCCAATGACCCAGGTGCCATTCAGCGTCTTCAGGAGCAGACTCATCACCACCATTCAGGAGGAGCGGGAGGCAAGCTTCCACCATCTGCTTCTTCTAGCACCGGGATGCTCCATGGATCAGCAAACACAAGCTCTTCCCGCCTCTCCACCTTGCCCCAGGTAGAAAAAATGGCCTCTGCCTTCTCCGAGGCAATGGGCAGCAAGAGCAATTACATGGATGTGAGGACAACGGGAATGGTCGGGGAGAGCAGAGATGGAGTACTTGTTGCTGGAGGAGTAGGAGGTGAAGTAGTTGTTGATATGCGCGGTGTGACTGAAAATGGGACAGAGGCTGGGGAAGACTCGGATGATGACGGTCGTGGCTCTGCATCGGAGATTTCCACCATTGCTAAGGAGGTGGACAAAGTGAACCAGATCATTAACAATTGCATTGACGCCCTCAAGCTGGACGCCTCTGCCAATATCGTGTCGACAGCTGACGACGGTAACTCTCTGTCCTCCTCCCAGCCACCTTGCATGGCACCTCTTTCCCGCAATCTCCTGCCACTCTCCACTGCCTCCTCTGGAGATCAGATCATGGCCTCTTCTCCGAAGGTGCATCCAAAGTCCCAGCCACACCCTCAGCCTCATCCTCATCCTCAGCCGCAACCTCAGTCCCATCCTCAGTCTCACCCACAGCTACATCAGCAGCCTCATCCCCCTTCTATGGCCCCGGTGCCCCTAGTCATGCCCCTGTCGGAGCGACCTGGCATCAGTGGAGGTGGGTTCCTTTCCCCACCTTACCGTGACCCACCCCCAGCTAATGCGGTACGGCCCCTTCAGAGGCAGCAGAGTGCCGACACTGCTGTAGTCAAGAATCGTTGTGGTCCTCCTGCTGCGGTATCCGTCAAGAACACAAGGCTGTACAGTGTGGATATACCGGAGCAGAGGAGTGATCCACCCAAGTATCCAACAGAGAAGGGGAGTCCTGCCATTTGTGGTGGGATGGGTGGCAGCGGGGGACATGGTGTTGTAGGAGGCTGTGGTGGAAATGGCAAGGGAAATCTAAATGGTGGTGGGGTGAATTTAAATGGAGGCGGAATGGGGTGTAATAACGGGAATGGAAGTGGATGTGGGGTTGTTGGGCCTGGACAGCAGCAGCATCACTTAGAGGTTCAGCCAGACTACCACAGCTCAGAGCACCGACACTCCTTTCCTGCGCTCTACTACGAGGATGACAACGATTCTCCCTTACCAGCCCAAAAAGCTTCATTTCTCAAGCCACTGGGACGTACCAAAAGGGAGGCCACAGCCACTTACTCCCAGCTCTCTCCTTCCCGTCACCATAACTACAACTCCGGGTACTCCTCCAGTCCGGAGTACTCATCAGAGAGCACGCTACGCATCTGGGAGAGATTTCGACCGTACAAGAAAAACCCACGCGAGGAAGCCTCCTACATAGCCGCGGGCCACGCATTGCGTAAGAAGGTGCAGTTTGCCAAGGATGAGGATCTTCATGATATTTTGGATTATTGGAAGGGCGTTTCTGCCCAGCAAAAGCTGTGAGTTCGGGAGGTGAGGGGAAGAATCAAATGCTACATGGGAAATTTTAAGCTGAACACCAACAGCAGACTAATACAGAGGTAGGATGTGAATCTTTCTGCAGAGCGACTTGGGTCATTCCTCCGGCAGATTCAGAGTTGACTAATCTCACGATGATTTTGGAACATGTCTTTGGTGACAGTTCATTGACATTTCAAATGGTTCCAGAGGATGACATTTGTCACCACAACCCTGAGTGGTCCGTTCACCTGACAGCCTCGTACTAGGCACTTTGGTCCTTGCAGGCTTCACAGAAATGCTAAGTACATTCTGATGAGCAAAGTTAACTCGGTGACAAGCGTCTTCTACCTCATCACTGGGACACCTCATCACTGTAGCTCAACTATCTCAGTAGAAACAGCAGCATTTATAACTTAAGCTCTGTCCATCTTTTTTTTTTCTATTTCTATCAAACAACCATTCAAAGGACATTAATTTCACGGCACTGCTTCCACCTGGGTCTCTATAAAACATCATTTAGAGCACTAATGAGAAACTAAATTGAAGATTTATTATTTTTTGTATTGGAATACCTGTCTTTGGGGAAGACATTAAGCGATACTAATCTGGCTTATTGTTTTCCCTGGCAATTAGCCAGTGTAACAGAAGGTCAGGACAGTGTTTGTTGAGCATGCTTATTGATGTAAAACACCCAACTACGCATATTCAGTGGTGTGTGTACATACAGGTTGTGGGTTTTGATGTGAGAAATCCCATTTTAGTTGAAGAGGGAAGTAGGAGCTGAGTCATTCTTTATCTCAGGCTTCTGTATAAGAGCAAAAGGTTTTGTGATAGACAGATTAGATAACAACCTACAGTAGCTGGGAAGGTCTGTGAGTGTACTTGTGAATGAGGAAGAGTTTTGCTCATTTGGCAACGTCTAGATGTCGTGAAGCAAATCTTGCGAAAACTTCCAGGCATTTTTGGCCTATTTACAGGCACTACTCTGAAGTTGGAGCATTTACATGTCAATAGGCTGAGCCATGCCGAAATGACTTGAGGGTGGGATGGAAGTGCAGGTGCAAAAGCTCATGTAGTAAAGAATCAAGTAATCACATTTGGGAACAGAAGCAGACTCGGAGGAGGTTAGAGGTTTCCTGTGAACAGCCCGGCAATAAAGAGGAGAGGCAAGCGCTTTTCTAGCTGCGGCCGTATTCCATCATAATGCTCTCGCCGACGCACAGCGGATGCTGGAGAAAGGACTGAAGATCCACATGGTATTATTTCTGTTGCCTCTGCCCCATGAAGGTGACATCTCTGTGCTTGACAGCGCCCTGTTCTGGTAAAACAAACACTGGTAGCTTGCTATGGACCAAAGTGCCCTTAGGAGGTGAGATTTAAAGGATTTTAATTATACTTGCCTATCTTCTCTTATGTGTGTGTTTGTTTTTTTTTAATTATTATTTAATGTGCTGTGATGCTATTGTAGCTGGTTGAGGGAAAACAGAGCAAGGCTTGCCAACTACCAAGGAGACTATTAGTGTTTATTTCTTTAACCTCCTGGATATTTGTTTTTATCTTAGTTTTTTTTTTTTTTCTCAGAATTGCTGAGTATCATGTCAGTACTGAATGTCCACTGATTACATTTGTACCAAATTAACCCAAAGAGCTTTTTATGAAAGTCATTGAAATCATTTGTCTGGTCAATGTTAAGAGTTTGACCAAAACAAAAAACATAATAATAATAATAATAATAATAATAATAATGAGGCAGATTCTAAGATTCACTTTTTGGCCAAGTTGAAAAACATAATTATACAACTGCCAACCTTCTGAATAACGGCAAACAAAAAAAACAAAAAAACAATGTTTTTCAAATATAATTATATATCTACCAACCTTCTGAATAACAGCAAACATTGTTGCATGAAAGAAAAATAATCACGTGTAAAGCAATTGCTCAATACGCTTTTTTTCCCTTCTTTTTTTAAGCAGAATAGTTTTCCAAAAACTGCAAGACTCGCCATTTATAACTCAGAAATTGAGTTGTGGTCTTGTACTGCTTGTTTTTCAAGTGTCTCTTTGTAAAGCTCCGTTGTGATCCAACCCAATAGAGCTGGTAGCATTCACAATGAGAATATCACTGCCTCATCATCACTGAAGATTCAGATCAATACTACTTAATACAAGAGTGAAAAGAACAACATTAAATGCAGATAGCAAATTCCCTTGAGCTCAGAGTCTCAGTCTCCATTTTTCTTGAGAGAGCAAAATGTACTCATTTTGCCTTATCTTCACTTTCTGCTGGGAGCTTTCTCTATATTAGGTGCAAGGGATGACCAATCAGTTAGTCTTAGATTATCCAGTGCAGGAACCTTTTTAAAATAATGACTACCTTTGAAAGATTGGGGAGAATTGAGCTGGATTTACCTGCATATTCACTGAAAGAGTTTTTGTTAGATGGAACCGATTTACTAAACAGTTCAGTGAATTCAATCAGTTGCTGAGAACTGGCAACTTAATTTGACGGTCTGCCTGTGGTGATCAAGCCATGCTCCTGTGTTCCCTTCCATGTATTTCAGGATATCAAAGTTTTCTTTTTGTGCCACTTTCTGAGAACAGAGGGCATTTGCCTTCTACCCCAAAGGACCAGAACCCAGAAGTCCAACCCGACAAGTTTGTTAGCTGTTAACATTGGTCAGATGACCAATGTGTAATTTCTCTCTTCAGTTAACCACAGTAATGAATCAATGTAAAGGATTTACTGTCAGTGTCGGGGCTCCAGAGGTAAACACGGAGAGGAAGCCGTTTGACTTGTGGTGGCCTCTTGGGGAATTAGTCAAATCCTCTCCGCTCACAGCTGTGAAACCGAACGCTACGTTGACAAATGATCAGATCGGGTGTTTGATTTTGGCGAACCATTTAAACAATCACATTTGAATTAAATTTTCAATTGATATGAACATTATTGTCACTGTGATCAAAAGGCATTTTAATAGAAACAGTTTTGGTGTTTTGGTAATCAAATATATAGCTTCTACCAATCTCAAACAAATCCTCTCAGTTGATACTTAAATTGCTTTACTGGCTGCCTTGGGGATTCGTCGCGGCACTTTTTGGGTTTTTGCTCTTCTTAAGTTTTGTAATCTTTTTCAGGTTCAGGTTTCTTCAAACATAAATCAATCATTTAAAGACAAGTTTTGGAACCGCACTCCAAATCACCTCGCATTAGAGTTGTCTTTGCCCTTAATGTGGACCTCCATGAAAGAGCCTGAAAACTTGCAAAGCCTTACTGGGGATGGCTGCAAGGCCTCTTCTGCCTTTTCTGATTGAATCTCTGAGTCCATGCTTTGCACTTTTGCAGTGGAAATCATGGACTCCAATGTTGTAAATATGAAATGAAAACTCTCACATTGGCCAGTTTATACCAGAAGGGTCCTCTCCCCATTGCCCCAGACCACTTCTGTGTTTAACATTAATAAAGTAATGAACCACAAGAACCTTTGCTGCAGAGAACTCGCTACTTTTAACGAGTTCATCAGTAGATGAAGTTTGGCAGACGTTTTGCTGTTCATTTTTTATTTATTTATTTTTTTGCTGAGGGTTTTTTTCCATTTGACCATAACATAACAATGTTTATCTTCTGTGCATTTTACTGAACAAAATATGATATTTATGTTGTGATCATGTATGATAATAAGAATATAATAGTTATTATTTTTTAACAATCAAGACATCTCAGAGAACGCAGCTCGATGCAGTGTTGGAAATCATGTGAAGAAGTTGAAAATGGTTGAACAGTCCTGCTTCCAGCTAAAGAGCTAAACCTCTTAACATGCCCCCCCCCCTCCCTCTGAATCCGCTGTCAAACATCAAGTATCTAAATCAGTACAAAGAACAAAGATAATTCATGTTTGTTTCTAACTAAATTTATTTCTAACGGTGAATTAATTTATTTTCACTCTTTTGTATCTATATTTTAAGCCTTGCGTAATATTCTTTGTTTATATGTTATCATAAGGCCAACTAGGACTTGACATCGCAGATCAACTAAATATTTAGCTGTAAAGCTAAATACTTAGCTGGCAACTGTAAGTGAAGTTTTAGCTCAAAACTAAATATTTAGTTAGCAGGCTAACTATTTGGTTTCAAACTAAATGTTTAGTTAGCAGGCTAACTATTCGCCTTCAAGCTAAATAGTAATTATCTGGCTTCAAGCTAAATTGTTTTTAGCAAACTAAATGTTAGCATTTAAAGACTTCGTTTTGAGGTAAATATCTAGTTAGCAAGCTAAATAGTTATTTTGAAGCTAAATATTTTTTTCAAATTAAATGTTTACTTTACAAACTATTTAGCTGATAAGCTACAAACTAAACATTCAGTGTGAAACTGTGACTTATATCAATAAACATAGTGAGTTTTCTTTTTTTTTTCTTTTTCGTTCTGAAAAGTAGATGAAAAAATCCCGACGAAGAAGTCAGGGGTCATGGCGTGTAAAGAGCAGCATTTTTTTGTAAAATTTTGATATTCGAAGGTTTTCAAATTTCTTCACTGTTTTGTATCATATACTCCTTGCCATCAGGCGGCATGTGTTACGCAATGCACAACAACCCCAGAGAAAAGCGAGCGCCACAATGATGCTCGCTCTGACGTAATCACTGTGAAAATGAACCATTTGGGTGTAACTGAAAGCCACCCAGTTTCGACCACTAGCCCAGTTTTGACCCTGGGTCCTTTCATTTTGCTCTGGAGAGGAAGCAGGACTGTGATTTTAACGCACACAGTGTACGGTGATCTGTCCGCTGTAGAGGCCGGGCCAACGGTCTGTTGATTCATTTGTTGTTTGGCCCGACCCTTGTGACGCGCCTAAGGAGGACAACCGAGAGCGGAGGTAACACAAACACAATGCAGAGGAGTTTCTACCGGTGGGCAACTGTGACCAACACAAACCTACACAAACACACACATCCTAATGTAGAGAATCAATGAATATACTGTACGTGTTTGAATAGCTTAGATACACACTTTATGGACATGAAATGTATTAACACACGCAACATGTACATTTTCAAACAACACACACACACGCACACTTTTTTGTACACAGACATGAACAAGCAAATGCCTACACATGATATGAACTGAATATTTAAATCAACGTTTACAGACACAAACAGTCTTAAAAGTGCCAAAAACACGGCAAGGTTATTGTGAAGGTGCATCGCAACCAAACAGCTGTAGAAACTATTACTTTTTTTTATTGTTGTTGTCGTTTTTTTGCAAGCTAAGTGTCACATTTTTTGTTCCAATGTTAACAAATTTTCCCGAGTCTGTTTATTATTTTTTTTCCCGGAAAAGCTCGGCCATTTTCTCATGCGCCATCACAACCTGACAAATGGATTGAAAGCGTCACCTCTGCAGTCCCTCTCCTCCCTCTGCTCTGTCGCTTCAGACTCGCGTTCAAATACAAATCAAAATTACCTCGCCCAATTAGGTCCGCGGGTTAATTGAAAACACAATTTACAGCAACTTCGCTGATTAAATTCCATTTTCGGGCAGCTCGCACTTCTGAGATGCAGCAGATTTGCGCGGCGCCTGTTTTGAAGGTAAAGCCACATCCGAGCTCAGCTGGGCAGAATATCTGAACCGTCTGTCTGTCACACTGAAGCTGCTTCTATGAATGCCTCTCAAAGTGTTTTTCCCTCCCAGTGCTGCTTCAGGAGAAATAGTGCTGAAGACAGCAGTGCCACGAAAGGGTTTAAGCCCCTTTGCTTAAGGTGTAGACACCTTCAAAACTGCCAAAAAACATTTTGTGTGTTTCTCGGCTATCTTTTTTTCTTAAATATGCATTGTTTTTTGTTTTTTTTTCTCCTCACACACTTGAAGGTTCTTTTTCCCCCCCCCCCAAGTGTGTTACAAGTGTTACTGGCTCCAGGTCTTAAAATCAGGCCTGTGGTTCTGCCGGCTGGGGTTCGAACTCTGAGGGCCTCATTTAGTGGAAGCTGGTGAAGATCTGGTCAAGTTTTACCTGTGACCTCTGGCTAGTTCCAGCATGCTAATGATTGGGTGTAAAACTCTTTATTCTTTTTTGTTTGTTTGTTTTTCTTCATTTTGGGTGGTTTTGGGCACAAAATATGTAATATTTTTCATCAAAATACTGTAAAAGAAACAAACAAACAGAAATGTTCTGAGATTTTAAATGACATCATCACTTTAAAACTCAAGTGCTCCACTAACAGATGGCGCTTAAATGCGATCATTCCTGATTTCTGGCTGAAATGCCCCCATGGCTAAAATTAGAATATTTTCTGAATAAATCTCTTTGCATAACCTACTGCAGAATATTCAAGGAAAAAAAGCATTTATCGCTGTATTATTTGAAGCCTGTGCTAGGTAACTTTTAGCATCGGCGCAGACTAGTCATTTCTTGCTGCAGCTTCTCTGAAACGATTCAAACTGACACACACACACACAAACATACACACACACATCCGCACAGAATCCAGAACCAGGCATGCGAAATGCTCACATCACAAAACATCAACCCAAAAACAAAAAAATGAAAAATAAAACACAGCATTTATTGGGTGGGTCGCCACAACAAGCTTTAAAAAAAACAAGGAGCGACATGTTTGAGGTACTTCATGTGCAAAGC